TTTTTTTTTCTAAAAGTTTTATAGTTTTACATTTTAATTTTTAAGATTGGGATCCATTTTTAATTAATTTTTTATATTAGCTTTGGGTCGAGGTTAATTTTTTTTGTTTGCTTATAGATGTCTAGTTGCTCTAGCACTATTTGCTGAAAAAGGCTCTATTTCTTCCATATATTGCTTTTGCCATCTTTGTCAAAAATGAGTTGGGCATTTTTGTGGGGGTCTATTTCTGGGTTCTCTGTTCCATTCCATTAATTTATATGTCTGTCCCTGTACCAATACCACAGAGTTTTGATTACTATAGCTATTATAATAAGTTTTGAAATTGGTAAGCTGATTCTTCTGTTTTATTCTTCATTTTTGAAATTGTTTTAGCTATTCTAGTTCCTTTGACTTTCCATATAAATTTTAGAACAATCTTATCTAAATCTATAAATAATCTTGCTGGGATTTTAATAAGAACTGTGTTAAATCTGTGTATCAATTTGGGGAGAATTGACATCTGTACTATGTTGAACCTTGTTTTTTGGTTTTTCTTCTAAAGATGACTGGTAAGTGGATCTTAAACCTTGACTTGGTGTTGTCAGCACCACGCTCTCCCAAGTGAGCTATCCAGCCATCCCCATATAGAGATCCGAACCCATGGCCTTGGTGTTATCAGCACAACTCTCCCAAGTGAGCCACAGGCCAGCCCTGAACCTTCCAATTTATAAACATGGTATATCTCTCTAAGTTTTTGTTTCTTTCATCAGCGTTTTTTAGTTTTTTTTTTTTTTTTCTTTAAAGATGACTGGTAAAGAGATCTCAACCCTTGGTTTGGTGTTGTCAGCACTACGCTCAGCCAGTGAGCCAACCGGCCATCCCTATATGGGATCCAAACCCGTGGCCTTGGTGTTATCACCACTGCACTCGCCCAAGTGTGCCAAAGGCCGGCCCTGGCGTTTTGTAGTTTTCAGTGTACAATTCTTGTTTATTACTGTTTGCTTGTTTTGTTTTATCAACATACAAGTCTTATACATGATCTGTTAGATTTCCATGTAAGTATTAAGTGATTTTGTGTGTGTGT